ACGTCGCGTGGGTGGTGCAAGCGGTGGCGCGCCCGCCGCGACGTGCAGTTCCCAGTCTCTCCCTCTGCTTTCGCTGCGACGTCACGTCCAGGGCGGGAGCGCGCGCATCCTGAGGAGGAGGAGGAGGAGGGAAGATGGCGACCTCAAACAATCCGCGGAAATTCAGTGAGAAAATCGCATTGCACAATCAAAAACAGGCAGAGGAGACAGCAGCGTTCGAGGAGGTGATGAAGGACCTTAGCATCACCCGGGCAGCACGGGTAAGCAGTAGGGCAGACGGTGGAAAACAAGGCACTGGGGATGTGACTGCAGCGGTGGGAGAAATACACGGTCAGCTCGTCACAAGACACCCCCGGGCAGAGTTGGGGGCGGCCACCTGTACCGGGAGAGGGGGGTATAGGAGTCAGGGCTGTGGGAGTAGGCGACCTTTAGATGTAGGCCTGCCATGGGATGTCACATCATCCCAGCATCTTTGAGATGCCCCCCCCCCTTTCCTTTCCTTTCCTTTCATTTCATTTCCCCAACCTGGCTGCCCAGATCAGGGACATCAGATGCTCTCCTCAGCACTATGACTGCGGCGAAGCTCCCACGATCTCTGCTTAGATCCTCCACAGCTACAGTAATGCACATTGTGCACCCACAGGCCTGCCAGGTGCAAGTCGTCCCTATGTTTTGTTTTAATAGAGTGACACTAATGACACTGACATCCTGAAGAACTTATTAGCTGGGATTGCATCTGCTCTGCTTGGATGGGATCTGACATTTGTTGCTGTGAACTCTGCTATAGGAGAGTTTTGCTGCTTGGCCATTCAGCCACAACAGAGTAGAACTCGGTGGATTTGTTTGTGTCAGAGTTCTTGTGTAAACAATGCTGATGTTTTCAATGTTTCATACTGAAAGGAAAAAGAAAATACAAACATTTCAGGTCTTTTAATAAGTGACAGTCTGCATGGTTTCTTAGATTGAGGGGATACTGTGTATGTTTGTGCTGGAGAGCTTCCTTTACAGTTTGTGCTCGTGGAGGGATTAAAGTATTAATGTTAAAATCTATTTATTAAAGTTTTGGATTTAGAAGGCAGTGATGATTTTGCATTTAAAGTCGTACTAAAGCCTCAGTTTGTCTTCAGAAACATTCCGCTTGCCCTATTAATCACTTGCCAATTAATGATTCTTCTTCGAATGCCCCAAAACACTCACATTTACTTCATGTGAATGGTGCAGCTTCCAGGAACTTCCTGTTGGGAAGCACGCACTGTGATTCCCTCCTCAGGACTACATTTCCCATCATACCTTTTCACCGTCACCTCATTGCTATTCCTCTAGGCTGCCTGTGCATGTACATACCGGGCGCTTGCAAATAAGGGTGACTCTGACGGCACTCCATAGGAGCAAGGAGTCACCCTTACAATGGAAATCAAGGCCATAAATGGGGGATGCTGGTGAAATGAGGAGATGGAAATGAAGAAGCTTCATGAAAAGCAGCACACAATGTAAATCCTGTGCTCAGCATCTCAATTATCAGAACGTAAAATAGGGTTTACTATCACTTTTAAATACTTTAAACATTTCAATAGGTTTGAGTGTAAGCCTTTTCCACACAAAGTGATCCTATCCTGCAAAATGCCCTAAACATGCCCACTATTCCGACGTGTACACTTAAACTGTATCTGTGCTGGACAAATCCCAGGAGGCAGGTAGATAAGGCTGCCTTAATTTTACAGCTGGCGCCCAACTTTTAGGGCCCATTCACACCATGTCTACACCAGACCAGAACATTTTTTTTTGTCTGGTCCAAAAACACTTCTCAATTTATGCCTATGGTAAAAAGTGAGGCTAGTTCACATAACTGGCTTCAGTACCAGAACGTTTACAAAAATACTCCATGCACTATTTTTTGGGCACACCCCAAAACGCATGTAAACATGCAAATGCGCCAACACGCACTAGAAATTCAATTGAGACACACACACAAAAAAAGCACCGGAACACACAAACAATGCACATATCCACATTTCCAGGAACAGATCCAAATCTGGTGTGGAGATGGGGTGAACAAGCCCTTAAGGTTTTCTCTTGCTGCTTTCAATGTGGAGCTGACGCCTAAAAAAAAAATATCTAAATGCAATCACACTGTGGGCATGGAGCTGGCCGATTCGTGCTCCAGAGGCCAAACGCACTCTTTGTGGTGTGAACTGGCCCTCACACGGACAATGACATAAATGCCTTTTAGTCTAAATGCATGTAATGATTCAACCTTGTATAATTCCCACTCTCGGTTTACTTGCGTAAGTGTTTTCAGTTTGGTCAAAAATGGGTTCTGTGCTTTCAGAGGAAGGTTAGATACTCCGAACTTGAAGTAGGAAGCAATAAGTGTGTTTATACTTCCCAGATAATTTCTCCTGCATTTAAATAAACTAAATGCATGAGGTTAGTTTGAATGCAACCTAATAATCCCTTCCCATTTGGTGCTGACCACCTCAGACTTATCGCTGTATGGTCCAGCATTGGTCATCTTCTGGGATGATCCACTCCCAGCATCGTTCAGCTCCCTTCCAAGCCATTATGGACACACCCCTTGGGGGTATGTTATGCCAACCCGGACTCACAATATTGCTGTACAGGACGGCACTTATTATGAGAAGAGAGATGTCAAGTTATTCTAGCTATTAAACTGCTTCATTTAATGTCAGTATACTTTTGTAGATTTAAACAGTATCTGCAGGGGTCACCAGGCTTAAGAGGTTTTTACTTTGACAGCTTTAAACTTTCCCAGATCAATGTATCAGGATGATCGTTCATGTGAATTTGTATTTGCCAAACCTGCTTACTTTTACTAACAGAGTAGGCTGTGCCTGTAATCCAGTATGTTCACAGGAGGGATAATTACTGTTTCTGTAATGCAGTTTAGCTAGGGGCCATTTCAATTCACCAGCAACTGGCAAATCACCAGCAACAGGATCTCTAAAGAGGCTATTCTTCTGCTCATATGGCACTGCTTTTTTTGCTGGTCAGAACTGTCAACTCTCACTTACCAGTGAGGGAGCAGCCAGAATGAGCAATTAGTCTTCTCTTTGCGATGCTATCACTGACCAGTTGTCACACTAGCAATCCTGTCGCCAGCGCCGTGGGTTTTATTGTGTGAATATCTGAAAAAATAGGGCTGCAACTAACTATTATTTTCATAATCAATTAGTTGGGCGATTTATTTTTTTCGATTAAAGGAGAACTATGAGGTGAGTGCTTTTCACTCATCCTCATAGTTCGAGCCGACCTATGACAATGAGACTGTCACAGGTCGGCTCAGTAGATCGGGAAGTGAGCGAACACATACCGGCGTTTGCTCACCTCTCGATCCTGTCACGGCTCTCTGCCGTGACAGGGGAGGGACTGGATTTCCCGCACCGATCCTCCAGCGCTGACTGGCGGAACGGAGGGTGCAGTACAGCTGGCTCTGCCTCTAGATAGGCAGAGCCAGCTGTCACTCACGCAGCTGGGCGAATCCAGACATAATTGTCGGGATCCGCTTCAGCTGCGGCATCTCAGTATACCGCAAGCTACAGCTCGCGGTATAGTGCGGCGTCTCAGTATTTTAATTAGTGTCATGGATTTTAAATAATATGAATTGTAAAACTCCAACCCAATATAATAAAATAACCAAACTTGTATTTAAAATAAATAAAAGCCCGGTCATCAGTTAAGAGTTAGCCATGAATATTGGCTGGAAAATTCTTGCTCTCACTCTGGTGCACGCAACGATATCTGGCATGTGTAGCGCAGTCAGCGTTTTCATGCACCCTACTTGTGTTCCATTAGTATGCGTGCATTTGCGGGGTCGGGGACTTTTAAACTTTTCTGGGTGTATTTTTAATTTTATTTAACTTTTTAATGCTTTACTATTTTTGCAATTTAAAATATCCAATAGCATGCTTGATATTGTTTCCAGCCACTGATGGTAGACTTGACGCCGGTGTTCTATCAATCCCTTGGACTCGAGTCCGAGGAATTGATAGAACACCGGTAGAAGAGAACTGGCACCAGCAGCTGGAACCGGCGGAGGAACGGGGTCGGTCAGCAGAGGCACGGGGCAGCAGCAGAAGTATGGCGGCAGCAGGGGAATGCAGAGTCACCACAGTCTCTCCTCCCCCTCTGGTGCTGGCTGCAGTGGTTTGTGTCCCCTCTGCCGATACAAGCAGCGATTTGAAAGGTACACTGACCGCTGTAGCTGGCACCAGCGGGGAGGAGAACGGAGGAGCAGAGCGGCGGCGGTGGGTGTCAACTAATCGCAGCTCAACTAATCGATATTATTGATTATAGTCTATCTTATCGATTAGTTGTTTCAGTCCTAGAAAACATCACTTCTTAGTAAGCCTGAATGCAACTTATTTTCATACAGCATGATAAATACTGATGGGTTTCTAAGGGAACAAGTATTTTATCAGTTGACCGTCTAATAAGTCAGGCTGTGGGTATTATATACTAGTGTTTTATTTCCTGAAATTTACATTTGTTTGTACCCCTTCCATGATGTAACAAAAACTATATTTAAAAATACATTGCAACTGACAACATTAACTTGCATCTATCATTGTTTAATCCATATTTAATCAAAATCTTTGCTTTTAATAAAAACAAATGGAAATGCCATAGGCAACAATCATTGGACATGTAACCTAATATTTTGTTCCCCAACCTTTGGAGGCAAACAAGTGATTTCATTGACTCTCAATGAGAATTCTGCACCTGCCAACAGGTAGTATGGCCCACTCTTCTTGAGCCGCTTGTTCCAGCTTTTTCATGTTTGAAAGGTGCCTTCTCCAGTCTTTAGGTTTCAACTCTTTACATCGATGTTTGATAGGATTCAAATGAAGACCTCTTCTGAATAGTTTAGTGTGCTTTAGCTGTGTCTTTTGGGTTGTTTCCATGATAGTCTTGAGATTTCATTGTGCTCATAGCAGCAAAGCACATCCAAAAAATAACTCAGTCTCCTCCATGTTTCACAATAGGTACTGTTTTCTTTTCTTTAAAAGATTTTTTTTTTGTCTGATCAGAGCTGATGTGACTTAGCTAAAAGCTCCAGTTTTGTCTCATTTGTCCAAAGGACATTCTCCCAGAAGCATTGTGGATTGTCATTCTGCAATTCCAGTTTGGCTTTTTCCTTTTTTTCTTTCAGCAGTAGAGTGCTCCTTAGTCTTCATCATTTGAGCCCAATGTCACTTAAGTGATGGATGATGCGATCACACATTGATGTTAATTAATATTG